AACTCAAGGCAACTGGTTTACCCTGAGGAACAAGCAAACCGTTTTTCTGTGTTCCCATTCTGCACATAAATAGTCATCCCTAAAGAGAGCAATGTATGTTCTGATCATCGGGGATACAGAACAAAGTGTGCGTTGGTTCAGTTAGTTCTATCCTAGGTGTTTTGTGTCTCGGCAATTTTTTTCCATGGAGACAAGAGCTCTGCAAAGTGCAGCAGTCCAGCAGTCTAAGGTCTGCTAGCAATGTCTGCTGCAGACATACTAGAGAAATAGGAAGTATTCTTAAAAGGTACTGCAAGTTCACAAGTGCTGGAGGCAGGACTCCTGGGTTCTGACCCTGCTCTGCCACTAACTCACTGCAGGACCTTGGTTGAGTCTTCTTTCCTTCTGGGCCTCACTTTACCCATATTCAAGGCACTTGGTAATGGCAGTAGGGGAGAAGCAGCAAACCTGTGGCTCCTCCATGCTTAGAAAGGCACCCACCCTCCTGCTGCATGTCCTAGTGCCCATACACTCATATGACTTCATCCTCCCCAGGGGGACTCAAAACACTGACCTGTTCCTCATGGTGAAATGATTCCTGCAGGCTGGGGGATGGAGAGGAAAAGGAGAACACCAAACTAATTGCGTCTCCTCTCCACACTGATACTGCCTGCTGCTCTTCAGGGAGGGGTCCCACTTTCGGTTCCCCCCCTGCAAGCCCACACTTTCCCTCTCTTGTCTGCTTCTCCAATAGCTGACACTTCTCTCCAGGCTCCCAGCACCCAGGGCCAGCCCATCCTGTCCTGCAGAACCTGAGGCCACAAGGGACCCGCAGCCAAGGGGCCATTCCCCTCTTGCCCCCTGCTGCCTGCACCATGTTTAAAGGGCTCTATTCAGGCAGGGAGCCCCTTCCCAGCTAAGCAGGGAAGGAGTTCCTGGCTCTGCTCCCGCCCCGGCCCTGGCAAAGGAACACAGGCGCGCCCAGCACATGCTGCCCCCACCCTGCACCCCCGCGGTGCAGCCCACATGCATGCAGCCCGGTCCCGACTATTTTATTCCAGTGAGTTTATACCACAATTAACTGCAATTTTGATTTTTCAATGGATCAGGGGGCCCCACAACTATATCTTGCAAGGGTCCCCAAAAAATTGTGGGCTGGCCCTGCCAGCACCCCAGCTACCTCCTTCTCCCTCAAGGACCTTTCCTCAGTGAGTAAGGGATAGAATCCATCCATCTGTCCATTTCTCCATCCCATGGCTGTCATGCCTGAAGACTAGTTTTCAGGTTTGGATTCGTGCAACGTCCTTGGGAATAGTTCTACTGGAAAGCATTATTGCTGCTGCTGCAGTTATTGCTCATTTATATGGCTGTAGCACAGATGAGGATCATGGTGGGTTGGATATAGTACAAGCATAGGAGAAAAAGTCTGTTCCCATACCAGCAGTGACTCAGTCTGTGCATACCATGAGAACGCAGGGGGTGGGAGGGGCTGCATGGCCCATCAAGTCCAGTCCCTGGGGTTTGCAGACATCCAGAGATCCTTCAAAATCACAGTGCAAACCCTCACCCCCAATTGTCCAGGCACAACACCAGAAGCACCAAGAGCACTCTACAGTAAACCAGTTGTAAAAGCAGGAAAATGAGATCCCTGCCAATGCTCTGCTACAGCAGTGACAGAAAAGCAAGTGGATACTGGGAAGAGGACCATGCCTTACATTACAAAAAAGGGCAAAAAACTTTCAGTCCTTTCAAATCTGAAGGGGAGAAATTACTTCTTGACCCTGTATTTGGGGATTGAGGATCCTGAGCAGAACAGCATGACCTTCTTGCCAGGAGCTTCTGGGTTTTTTAGGTAGTGGCAGGATCATCAGCACTCCCCAGTCCCAAAACCAAAACCATCCCAGATCCAAGTCCAACCTCCCTGCCTCAGCTGTTATCCACAAAGGATGTTTTGGCAGCAGCCCCTCAGTGCTAATGAGAGTCCCTTGTCTAAGTCCCTGCTAGGATAAAGAACCCCGAGTCCACGGAGGTGAAGGCTTCCTACCCGCCCAGAATGAAATGTGTGAGCAGTTCTAAGTGGGAGCACAATGAAGCAAAAGCCTCCTGTTTTGGAAGCTGCATGCCATGGCATTTTGCACGTTTGTAATCCTGCAATAGAACTACTCTTTGTATTTTAAAATATGCCGTGTCCTCTCCAATGAGGGGTAAGATACTGAGTTGCAAAAACACTTGCTCTAGAGGCACACTGAGCGCTTGCCAGAAGGATATTCAGATTAAGAACATGAGTGTTAATAATAACAGGCAACAACTTGCAACATGTGTGTGCTGAATAAGAGTAAAGTATAACATGCAGACAGATCAGAACCGACCTGTCGGCATGAGTATAAGATCTCAGGAAGCCGGGACAAGAGCGCCTTTAAAAGACAATGAAACGGAAACTGCTGCACTTGTTAAAACAAGAGCTTAATTGCCAAAGGATCTTTAGCACCTGGAGACGCTCTCAAACATCACATCTCTGTCCAAAAAGGAGTTTCCCATGACTGTTAGAAGTAACATTCCCGATTACTAAAATGAAGAGTGAGATTCTGCTGCTGTTATTCACACTGACAGTGTTTTACTCTGGCTGAAATGGTTTGCAGCAGTAATTGTAGGGGTGCGTAACTGTTCCAGACAAATGGGGGTTTATAATGAATTATCTTAAACTGTTGCACTTAAAGTGAATTTTTCCATGATGTGAAGCTAACTACAGCATGGAGACAGGATGCCTTTCTGAATTCCTCTAAATTGAAATAAGTGCATTAAATTAAATAAACACTGGCACAATAAGATAACACTCAGACTCTTAGAGATTAGAGAAAATTCATTTTCTTTACCCTTCTCCCATTAAATCTTCTTTGCAAGGAGTTTGCATGCAGACTGTTTTACTGCTGTCGGCTTTGCCTGTAGACTGCGCCAGTTTGTCACAAAGCAACAGAAATAAAGTTGAGAGTGTTTTTAAAACATTAGACACTAACACTGCAAATACATAAATATTGGCAGCCCTTTTCAGGGGACAGTGTGGTATGTAAACTACTCCAATTAATTTTTTGAGATGGACCAGATTTCAAGCTGATAATATTCCTTTCAAAGAAAAATTTAGACATTGAAATTAAAAATATAGATCTCATTGTAATAATGCTACAGAGAGTAACAGAATTACGGTGCAAAACCCAGCCACCATATGCTTTTGTAACCCACAAAACAGACACAAACAATTACATCATTTCAAACTCAGAACTGCAACCCTGTGTCACTCTAATTGTTTATCAATAAATACAACAGCAAAAACCTACTCAAGAAAAAAAATCTTTAGAAATTAAAAAGCAAGTACATTAGGACAGGTGTCTTTCCGTTATGATGTGCACTTTAAAAATGGTCATATATCCGGAACACCGCAACAGCACAATGGAACCTACTGATTAAGGCAGTATTCAACTGTTTAAAGATCAGGTTTAAAAAAGGTACATGTAAGAATATATGTTACTATCTCCCAGTTACTTTAAACTGCAGAAGGAAAATATGTTTGGAGACATCCATGCACGAATCACAGATCACTGCACATCTGTAACTGTCCCTATGGTTTCTATAACTGATCAAATCCCAAATGAAGGATGAGATGGTGCTCTGGTGCTGCTGAACAGCAAAGTATGAAGACAGACAGACAGTGTTTCCTCAAAGTGCATCGCAGTGCATTTGTTAGTTAAAGCTACGGGAGAAAACACAATGCACAGAGTAGCGACAGGTACAGAAGTATACATGTGCAAACTGGGAATCTCAACCTGCCATCTCTACTGGAGATTTAAATCATATATAAGACTTTGCAAAGCACAACACGCTCTTCAGAAATAAACACAGCCCAATAGAGCCATGCCAAGCAAACAGTCCACACATTAACCACCCCATCTTGATGTAGACTCCACTGAGATGTCCCTCTTGAATGCACTACATCTGCACATATAGCCACAGCCTGCCTGATGCTCAGATGAGTGCCTCCTGGTGCTAGACCTGTATGATCTGGTGCCTGCAGTTAATGGCGCAGGGCAGACAGTGGTCTGAAGTCAGTTTTACTGCAGCCCCTTCTCCAGCTTGGTCACCCTGCCTGAGCGAGGACTGAATTTCCTACCTGGCATCCCTCACAAAACAAGAGGTACAAGTCAAGATCACAGTGCTAGAGCATGATGTCCTGCTTCAGGAGAGATTGATTCTTTTGGAAAATAATAATAATAAAAAGGCAAGCCCCATTAAAAAAAGGTTGCACCTACCGTGGTGAAATGCTGCATTGGGTCGCTAATGTACAGCATTTTAGTCTTCCTGGAATTTAAATGCAATGGGAAACTGTCCCGCCAGAGGAGTCATGGGGTCGGGGGAGGATGGGAAAAACAAAAGGGGTATGAATCGACATACGACAACCGAACATAGAGAGACGTGGTGGGGAGAAGGCAGAGGCAGCGCCAGGGATGCTGCGCTGGCTACCTGCGTGCAGTTTGTTGGCTTTTTTGCTTTTCTCATCTCCCTTAGTTCTGTCAACTAGCTGCATCTAACAACAAAACTCGGGCCCACCCCTTTCTCTCCCTCATGACTATTCATTAAAACACAGGGCAGGCCTAGGCTTGCCCAATGATGTATTGGACTCTACCAAACGCTCCCACCAAGGGGGAGACTGGGGGTCTGTCTCCATAATTAAAACTCAGCAAGATTTAATTCCAAAAAGTGGCTTGTAGAGTGGAAAGCTCTTGGAACAGCCCATTTTATATCCAGAATAAGGCGACTGGATTTGCACTGATAAATACGCAAAGTGTCCATGGGATCAGTCAACTAGTGCATTTCTAGCTTTGGGCAAATATGGACAATGGTTCTTTTTCTTCCGATGCACCAACAGCTACCCGTCCTAGGACTGTGATATATGACAGTAGGTTTTTTGGGGTACTCCCAAGGTCTGGCATCTATAAAACATCAACAGTGTTGTTGTTGGGTTTTTTCAACCCTCAAATGCTTCTTAAGGATGTGTGCTGTTAGAAAGTCCCGAGTAGAAAAGACATAAACCACTCATGGGGTTACAGCAGTGGTTTTCAACCTTTTTTCATTTACGGACCCCTAAAAAAATTTGAATGGAAGTGTGGACCACTCTGAATCAGACATTTGGGTATTCACATACTTTTGATTGATTGTAGTCATCTTTCACAGATCCCTTAGACATAGTCTGCACACCCCCGGGGGTCTGTAGACCACAGGTTGAAAACCCCTGGGTTAGAGCATGCCATGCATATGGGCATCTCTCCTCAAAATTAAATTGGGATCATGCCATTGTCCTTTACAAGTAAAGGACCAGTTAGTGTTCCCCGTGATGCTGTAAGGAAATTCTCAGGGGAGGTTGACCCAAAACAACCCAAAAACCCATTGTGGCAGTATGAGTTAAACAGCACCTGGTGATCCAGTAACCAAACAGTAGTGGAAACTACGGGAATAGGTACACAGAGGGGTAGGGTGGGGATATGCTTCCTGAGCTGCAAAGTTTTTAAAACCTTAGAACCTGGGAACAGGTAATGATGGTTGATTGTCTGGTCTTTACCACCACTAATAGTTCATCTTTCCTCTCCCTCAGATACCTCCTGATTTTGTTTGACTTTTCCTTTTCACTATGAGGTACACCCTCCCATAAAAAGCTTAAAGAACCCCAGAAATTACAAACCAAAACAACTGGCCCGAATCACTCGCCAGCATCCTTCCCTTTGCGCAGTACCAGGGCAACACAATCAGCGAGCTATGTGCATACGTTCAAAGCAGTCTGCGTGGGACCTCCCCATCAGCAGCAGCTTGTGAAGTGTCATTAGAACAACCGTCTCAATCATCCACCTCACAGAAAGTCTAGTCAGAAGTCATCTTAGGTGCAAACAAGGCTGTATTCAGGACCACCCTCCTTCCCCCCGCATGAGCCAGGTACCTGGCAGGCCTCTGGCTGCTTGGAGGTTAGGAACCTGGAGTTGCCAGCATCTGAAAAATGGGGGTCTTGCAAGGAGCAGTGGGTCAAAGCCAGAGAGCTCCAGAAGAGAAGCCAATAGTGGGAGCAGGAGGAAGGAGCTTGAGGATGCAGCATGGGAGAGGAGAGCAGGGTCGTAAGCAGAAGGATGGTAAACTGTCCTCAGGAAGGACATCAGAAGCCCCGCCTAGGGACACTAGGAAGAAGCAGGATGGTGGTGACAGGGCAGAGAGTAGGTGAGCAGAGGGTATCCACACCTCTTTCAGAGCCTGGAAACGGATTGGCAATGGC